AAAGGGACTCAGGGCGGCTGAACAAAAGCCAAGGGAGGGGAAATTACAAAAAGTAAGACAAAGACAATCAGACAATATAAACAATTTAAAAGCACAACAGACACAGCAAATTCGAGGAGGGGGGGAACTCAACCCCAGGCTTGCTGGGACAGCCAGGTCTTCACGGCCGTCCAGAAGGCCTGAAGGGTGGAGAGGGTCTGAATCTCCATGGGGAGCTCGTTCCAAAGGGCCGGGGCAGCCACAGAGAAGGCCCTCCTCTGCAGGAGGAGGAAGGGGGTTTATTCATATATTATCTTCCCCAACTGATGGTAGAGAACCCTTTGTCTCTCAGAAGGAGCCATGAAGTCCATTTCCTTTCTTCTCCCCCTAGCATGCTGATCACGTATGATGATGTGGTGAAGATCTCCGACTTTGGCACCTCCAAAGAGCTCAGTGACAAGAGCACCAAGATGTCTTTTGCTGGCACTGTGGCCTGGATGGCCCCTGAAGTGATTCGGAATGAGCCTGTTTCTGAGAAGGTTGACATCTGGTGAGGGGAGCTAACCTAAAAGACAGGCAGTGGAGAGAATGGGGAAGGTCTGAGTGGGTGGCCAAAGTCTAGGACAACCCAGTGCCCCTCCTCCAGCTGTGTTGGGCTCTGGCTTCTTTCGTCCACATAACACATACCCCAAAAAAAGGTATGTTGGACTACAACTCCCACCAAGGTCTAGTACCGGTAATAGATACCTATTCATGCACAGATGTACCTTAGGCCCTCTAGATGTATTTGTCCATTACTCCTAGTCTCACCTGTATATACTCCCAGGTATAGATTCTGTTTGGGTAGAAGACATGGCTGGAAAAGAATGTAAAAGGGGAAGCCCATTGAGAATGGTTGTTCATGCTAGAGGCTTCCTCTACTCAATTGACTTTTCATTCCCACCTAGGTCATTTGGGGTCGTTCTCTGGGAGTTGCTGACCGGAGAGATTCCTTACAAGGATGTGGACTCCTCAGCCATCATCTGGGGAGTGGGCAGTAATAGCCTCCACCTACCTGTGCCTACCAGTTGCCCAGATGGCTTCAAGATCCTGCTGAGGCAGTGCTGGTGAGTTCCCATGTTACATCACTTCTCAGCAACGTGGGCTAAATTGTGGGAGGAAGAATTAGCCTCCAGAATTAGTTCAGGCCCAGGCCCTGCTCAGCTATAGTTTGAAAGAATTGAAAATTCTAAATCCACACTGGGTTTTTTTTTTAAGGAAAGGAAAGGAAGACTATATTACGCTACATAGGAGAGAAAAAATGGGGAAAAGAAAAAAAGCAATCCTGTTTCATTAAAGAAAAACAGTTAAACCCCAACTAAATAAAATTCAAAACTCAGAAGAGGGAGGAGGAAAGCACTTCTTATATAATCTATTGAGATTATATAAACTCCAGAGAATTGAGACACAATATCCTGCAATCTTATTTATTTGCTTTGCTCATGCAAGAGATCCAGATGATACTTTTTTGTGTATGTGTGGAATGGCCTCCTTAAATAGGTCTAAAGACAATAAACATTGATTGAAGCCTATTTTATTCACCTTTGCAACCACATGGAGTATTTACCATAGAGGAACATTTATATCAGCTTTTACATATTAATGTAAATGCTTTCCACATTTTGGGGCTCCCTAGGAATATGTTCCAGATCTGATAGCCTTCCAGTATCTTGCCTGCGATTGATGGGGATTGTAGTCTAAAATTTACAGAGAATGTTAGATTGGGAAGATTAGTATTCATGTTTTAATACAATTTGAAGGCCCAATTAAATCTAATAGAATGCCTGACTTTTGCCACATCTTATCTTCCTCATGCAGTGGTGGGTTTCAAATTTTTTTAGAACCTCTTCTGTAGGTGTGGCCTGCTTTGTGGGAGTGGCTTGGCAGCTATGTGACTGGGTGGGAGTGGCTTTCCGGCCATGTGACCAGGTGGGCATGGCTTGCCAGCCATGTGACTGGGTGGGCGTGGCCAACTTGTAAATGTGGTGAAACTCACTTAACAACGCTCTTGCTTAGCAACCAAAATGTTGGTTCAGAAACGCTGGCATTTGAAGCACGCAAGTATTAATGCTGTCAAGTTACAAGACCCTTGCACCCCTAACACTTTAAATCCCACCCCCAGGGGTATTCAAACTTGACAATTTTAAGACTTGTAAACTTCAACTCCCAGAATTCCTCCTCTCTCTCTTCATCTTGATGATGTGCGGACGGGGGGGGGGGGGGGGGCTGGAATCGGTTCTAAACGGCACTGTAGATTTGTGGAACCTCTTCTATAGAAGAGGTTAGAACTGGCAGGAACCCACCCTTGTCCTCATGATATATAATTGGGGAAAAAATTACAATGCGTTTTTTAGGTACTCTTCTCTGGCTTCTATTCACGGGAGATAGAGATATAGCAACCTAATTATGTCACATTAAACCCAAAATGTGATATGTCTTTTTGTTATGAATTATATCTTTCTAGAAATCCCTCTCTTTACATATCTTTAGTTCACTTTTGATCTATTAGGATCAAGGTTTCATTTCCTTTACACCTGAGCTAAAGAAACTGTGATCCTCCAGATTACAGCTCTTCATAAATTCCTTGGGGACATCAAGAAATATTGTTTTTAAAAAATACATTTACTAGCAGATCTTATTGAATGAATTTAAAATAATACACAGAGATGAACAGCATTTTGGCAGATGGTGTAATGTAGATACATATATATTTAATTTAGAGCGATTTTTTCTTCAGTAGTCTCCAGTTTATCATACCATAACAACTCTATGGAGTAGGTTGTGTTAAGAGAGAAAGCCCATCTCAAAATGTCAAGTTTAAAATTCGAACAACACACCTCTTTCCAGAACTCACCTTGATTTATTTCTGAAGACCAGGTAGATTACACAGTAGGAAAAAAAAACTTCATAATAGAAGTTTACAATGGAACCCAATAAGCTTTCATTCCTATTTGCTACATTATAACTAGTCCTCACTTACTAACCATTTCTTTGAAATCATGAGGGTAGTGAATATGGAGACTTACAACCATTCCTCAGAGTTGCAACCATTATAGTTTCTTGATCATCATTTGTGACCTTTCACAAACCAGCTTCCAACAAGCAAAGTCAATGGGGAAGCTAGCATGAAGTCACAAGTCACAGTCATGTGATGTTGCACTTAATGACTGTGGGTGATGTATTTAATGACTGCAGCAGGAAGTGACAACTGATGTCACAAAACAATGCTTTCGTGTGATGTCTGGCTTAATGACTGTGCCACTTAGTGGTGGAGTTGTCAGTCTCTATTGAGGTTGGTAAGTGAGGACTAGCCATACATGGAGCAGTTAATGGCCATACTAAGGAAAATTTATGATATAAAGTTTGACTGAGAGCAGAAAGAACATTTATTTCTATAATGAAAGCTTGAGAAACAGAATAAACAAAACTCCCAGAAATAAAATATTATACTAATGCACAATACAGCAAACTTTAACACCATATGCCAGTTTCTAAATTCTACAGTTTACATTTTAATTTAAATTCACACCAATCTATGCATTGTCATACCCAAAATGGAGCACAACTATAGAGAGGACAGCTGTCACATTCTTAGAAATTCTTTTTGTGTGGATATATGTCCACTCACAATTATTTGGTTATTTGCTTGCTTGCTTATTTGTTTGTTTGTTCATCACATGTATATCCTACTACAATCATAACCAGACTCTTGATGGATCATAACCTTTAACAAAACAATAAATAACAATAACTACAGATAGTCCCCGGTTTACAGTCATTCATTTAGTGACCGCTCAAAGTTAAAACAGCACTGAGGAAAGTGACTTATGACCATTTTTCACATTTATGACCACTTATGCAGCATCCCCATTGTCACAATAATCAGAATTCAGATGCTTGGCAACTGACTCCGATTTATGACAGTTGCAGTGTCCCAGGGTTACCGGTTCACTTCACAAGTGTGTTAGTAACTTAAGAACAGTGGTGGGTTTCAAAAATTGTTGGAACCTACTCTGTGGATGTGGCCTCCTTTGTGGGAGTGGCTTGCCAACCATGTGACTGGATAGGAGTGGCTTGCCGTCCATGTGACCAGATATGAAGATGCCGACGACACTTGTCAGAACCACCTTAAATTACCTCACACACAGCACTGGCATGCATAAGAATATGATGTAAACTTGTTTTTTAAAAGGCATCTTTGGTTTGCGTTAAAACAACTTCAACACACGCAATGTTCTGATTGCACCACAAACGCAGTAGTCATCCTTACCTTTCACAGAGGCACTGCGTTTTATAAATATGAGCATGATAGTGTAGAATAATCATATCCAAGGACCAGTGGTGGGTTTCAAAAAAATTTGGAATCTCTTCTGTAAGTGTGGCCTGCTTTCTGGGTCCACTGGTGGAACCTCTTCTAACCGGTTCGGTAGATTTGACAAACCGGTTCTACCAAATAGGTGCGAACTGGTAGGAACCTTTTATCATAGATTTTATCTGTTATTTATTATTTTATTCCAGAATTTTAAATGTATATTTATGGAGTGTTTTAATTTGTTCTGGTCTCTGGTCTATGACTATAATAAACTGAATTGATTGTTTGGCCTGGAAATCAACTCCATAGCAAGCCTAAAACTACTTTTATTGAGGCTGACTATAATAACAGAATCTTGCAAGTTTGATTGTGTTGTATCTCTTCCCCCTTCTTTTACTACATTAGGGAGCTGTTTGTGTGAGCCATTTCCAAATGTTATCTCATTCTTCTGGACTTAAAAAAACCCACTTCATCCCCTTTTGCCTAGGTAGCAGTTCCCATGTATCTCTTCAGGGTCATCTTTGTTACTCACTATATCAAATTAAAGGGATGCAGTGGCTCAATGACTAAGATGCTGACCTTGTCGTTCAGAAAGATCGGCACTTCGGCGGTTCAAATCCCTAGCACCGCATAACGGAGTGAGCTCCCGTTACTTGTCCCAGCTTCTGCCAACCTAGCAGTTTGAAAGCATGTAAAAATGCAAGTAGTAAAATAGGAACCACCTTTGATGGGAAGGTAACAGCGTTCTATGCACCTTCGGCATTTAGTCATGCCAGCCACATGACCATGGAGACGTCTTCGGACAGCACTGGCTCTTCAGCTTTGAAATGGAGATAAGCACCAACCCCTAGAGTCAGGAACTACTAGCACATATGTGCGAGGGAAACCTTTACCTTTACATCAAATGAGCTTTCATTGCTTAAAGGTAAACCCGAATGTGGGCTGCTCTTGGCCCAACAAATTAACCACACCACCAAACAAGCTAGGAATCCACACTGTGTGCCTTCTTCCCCTCAGTGTATTCTGTCTTCCTTCATCAGGAATAGCAAACCTCGGAATCGCCCATCCTTCCGTCAGATCCTACTGCACCTTGACATCGCCTCTGCTGATGTGCTGTCCACACCGCAAGAAACCTACTTCAAATCCCAGGTGGGCTTCCTTGGCAAAATTAGTTTGAAATTGTGTTAAAAATGTATATGTTAGACACTAGCTACAGTTATAATGGTTTCCACCAAGGTCCTCTGTTCCAGCGGGAACAGAAGTTTAATCTCATTGGTCGAAGGGTCTGACAGCTCCCTATGAAAAGGGCTGCTGTCAGACTCAACCTTTGCTGGATTGTACATACATGTTCTGTTACAATAAAGAGCTGTTGTTGCCTTTAGCCTGTGTGTGCCTTTCCATTACCCAATCTAACACTGGCGACGAGGGTGGGATTGGAAGGCAACTAGGTGAACCAAAAAGCAATCCAGCAAGTAAATCCAGCCCAGAGCTCAGCGCTGCTTCGAGTAGCCATTTTTGAGCGGCAAACTCAAAACGCCCTTAGAACACAAAATGGCCATGCACGCCCCATCGACTCCATATGACCCAGTCACCGAGCACTGGGACTTCTATATGCTGAGGTTCGACTGAGATCAGATGCTGAGGACACATTACGCTCCCAAGCCGTCTAAGCACCTCTACTGGCACGAATTTAATATTCGTAATCAAAAGGAAGGCGAGTCGATCAACGAGTACGTTGAGGCACTATGGAAGGCCGCAGCGTACTGCGAGTTCCGAGACCTAGACAAACTTATACTAGACCGCATCATATGCGGTGTGCGGGACATTAATTTACAGAGGAGTTTACTTGCCAAATCTAACCTCACTCTACAAATTGCCTTGGATGAAGCCAGGGCATCAGAATCGGCCATCAAGTCTACAGAAACCCTGCAGCGCCAAAGCACTCCACAAGATGCGCGAAAGAGCACACACGTACATCGCGAGGCTGCAGAGGCCGAGACCTCAGAAGGCGAAGAAGATGACAGCTGCTGCATGTGGAGTAGCCATGCCCAGCCAGCGTGCAAATTCGAACCACGTTTCTTGCCTTGCGCAAGCTGCAGAGAGCCCATGCAATAGCAGTTAGACTTATATACCGCTTCATAGGGCTTTCAGCCCTCTCTAAGCGGTTTACAGAGTCAGCATATTGCCCCCACAGTCTGGGTCCTCATTTCACCCACCTCGGAAGGATGGAAGGCTGAGTCAACCTTGAGCCGGTGAGATTAGAACCGCCGAACTGCAGATAGCAGTCAACTGAAGTGGCCTGCAGTACTGCACCCTAACCACTGCACCATCTCGGCTCCTATGCCAGATCATCTTGCTGTTTCCGCAATGCTATCTGCCAGCACTGCAAGCGAAAGGGGCACATCGCCAAGGTTTGCAGAAGCGAGCACCCCACAACGACCTGGCAGCCAAGAAGCTGACCTAACCTCCAGCAGAGGCCCAACCAAGGGGTATGGCAGAAGCCACCATGGTGCTCAAAGGGCAACACCAGAGTCACCTACCACACCTCAATCGGCCAAGTTCGCACTAGACGGCCAAAAAAGCTGAAAGTCACAGTCTAGTGACGTTGTCCGCCACTCTGCAAAAGACTCCACCATGAAACAAATTTTGAATTTGGATGTGGAGGGGTGGCCAAAGGGGCCTGTTGGGTCTGATTTCAAAATGTACTATTGTAAGAGAGATGAATTGTCTGTTGTTAATGGCTGTTTGTTGTGGGGGGACCAGATCGTTGTACCATCCAAACTGTGCATTGCAGTATTAGAGGCTTTACACATAGGGCATCCTGGAATTGTTGGGATGAAGTCTTTGGCCAGGAGTTACGTGTGGTGGCCTAACATGGACAGGGAGATCGCAGAATGGGTGGCTATTTGCATACCATGCCAGGAGTCCAGACCAGCTCCCCCAGAGGCGCTCGCTAAGGAGTGGGAGTGACCTCAAGCACCATGGTCTAGGTTGCACATTGATTTTGCTGGCCCAGTTCATGGCCAGACATTCCTCGTAGTTGTAGACGCCTACTCAAAATGGCTAGAGGTAGTCCTGATGACCTCCACTATGACGGAAGCAGTCATCAAGGCCCTATGGAGACTTTTCTCCACACACAGCCTGCCTAATTTCCTGGTCTCTGACAATGGGCCCCAATTCACGGCCATGCAATTCGAGACCTTCTTAGCAGCACAGGGAATCAGACATGCCCTGGTTGCGCCATTCCATCCGGCCTCCAATGGCCAGGCGGAGAGAATGGTGAGATCTGCAAAAGAGGCCCTATCTAGGATGGGCCCGGGAAATTGGCAAACATGGGTTGACCATTATCTTCTAATCCAACACATCATACCAAGCGCCACTACAGGGAGAAGCCCCTCCAAGCTTCTCATGGGTCGCCGGCTAAGGTCCCACTTAGACTGGCTACACCCAAACTATTCTGCCGCATCGCCCCCTGACTCCACAAGCAAAATTTGAAATTTTAGCGTAGGGGATTCAGTTTACGCCCACAACTACGCCGGGGGAACTCTGTGGATTCCTGCCACAGTGATAGGCATCACTGAGCCTCGCTCTTATCTCGTAGAGCTTGAGGACGGTCGGAATTGGAGAAGGCACGTTGACTAACTCCGTGGCTGCCTGTCCAACTCCACTCTTAGGCAGCCAGAGGTAACTCCTGCTCGAGTTGGCCAAAGCCCTACCCAAAAGGAGCACAAAGTCACTCCTTCCACAGCCCAAAGACACCGGGATACTTAGCTACTTGTGTTGCAGGCCCACAGCAAGCTCCGAGTGAACCGGCTCTAGAAGCTCCAGCCGCGGCCTGTGAAAGGTTCCATGAGCTTCCACCAAGCGGAGCTGCAGAGCAAACAGGTCCGTCCGATCTGTCCGAAGAACACCGTCCGATTGAACTGCTCAGGTCTGGCAGAGCTACCAAAAAGCCCGCCTACCTGTGTGGACTACGTTACCAGTAGGATGATTCCATCTAAGAGGGGAGGGGTGTTAGATACTAGCT